ACCTGCACAATCTCTTAAAGAGTACGTGGTAACTTTCTGTGCCGTGCTTGATACCCCTGAGTAGACCAAGGGGTGAGTCGCCTCTAAGGTTATCGTCGAACTGTATGTTGTTGAGGTTTTTGACGGTGATCCAGCGGAATATTGTCCGCGCCTTCTCCACGTCGCTGGCACAGCGCCCCACCAGCTGCCTCACCAGGTCAGTGAACGTCTTTTGGTCTTCTTGCGCCACCTAGAAAGGCATAGTAGTCGAAATCGGTACATTGTAAAAGTTTTGGCGCAAATTCTTATTGCGTAATTATTGACTTTATTTTGTTTATAATAATAAGTTTATATTTATAGCTTATCAAGTTTTCAGCTTTATTATTTTTGCAGAGCTGTGGTATTTTCACACGAGGTCTAATCAGCGAGGAAACGGATGTGGTATCGAGTTGTTCATGTGATTCAATATCCCTTGTCGAATTAATTTATTTGCTTATGTATTTCCTCTCATTTCATGGCCAATATAGTTTTTATTGCGATTAAAATTGGTTCAGACTGAAAATTTTCTGGACTGATACGTAAATAGAAAACTGGCAGTAGTTTTATTACCTGACTAGAGAATGTTATTGTTAAAATGCTTAGTTTGAGTTGACATTTCGAGTAACCCCTCTTGAAACAGCTTTTGGGGGATTGGTATTCTGGGCTACTTACCGATATCGCAATCTTGTCTACATCTGCGAACTCCGCCGGGTCTGTGTATATGTGGAACTTGGAGACAAGCGGGGGCTGCGGCGCGGGCGCACGGGCGGGGTAGGGTGGGGCCTCTTCACCGTCCACGTACAATGAGCTGGCCGCCATGTACTCTGACCGTCGCTCCTGGATGAGCTCCATCATTTCGTGGCTCTGCTTCTCCACTAGTGCCGCGGTCGCCGCTCTAAGAATAGATTATTTGGTCGCATTGATATGACACATTGGCGTATTAACACGTTCAATGCCACTATAATTTTGTTAAAAAAGGTTTAGGGCCGCTGACACTGAATTTAGGCAGAGTCCTACAATCGATTGTGTGTAAAAAAAAGATTAGTTTCTGTTTGTCTTACTTCCTATTTAAGTATAGGTACTATTACAATGTGGCATCTCACATAATAGTTTATCTATTTCGTATATATACAATCTTACCTTTCATGTTCTAACATCTTCCTCGTTAAGCTTTCTTTCTTCTTATCTCTTCGTAATGTCATGTTCTTTTCTAGATCTAATCTCTCCTGCTGATGACGCAGTGTAAGTGCTCCGATCTCCGAGTCCGGCCTTCTCTTTTTAACTTGCATTTCTTGTTGAAACCTTAATGTTAGCCGTTCCAATTCTCGTTCCCATTCGTCCTACAGAAAGTATTAATTTTAACACTGTGCTTATCTATGTCGTGTTCTTAAATATAAAAAAGGAAAGATGTCATTGATTTTTTCGGATTAGCTCAAAAATTACTGAACTCATTTTAACGAATTCTCGCATATTGATGCATCGTGTAAATGCAACAACATAATTATAAATATATCACAACGCAATGATATTGTACAAAACCGTGCCTTATGTTTTTTTAAACCGGTCCTTATGTGATATAGATGAAGTCTGGTCAAGGTCGACGCATATCAAGAACGTAACTAGACTTGTGATCACGTCATTTGAAACATTTTTCAATTTCTGAATGGTTATGATGGGTAAGAAATTTATGAACAGACTAGCTTTTGCCCGCGATTCCGTCCGCGTGGAAATGAAAAAAATATAAGTAGCCTATGTGTTCTTCTATACTATGCTCTACATCTATGCCAAATTTCATCGAGATCTTCAGCAGTGTAGGTTAAAAACCCTAACAAACATCCTTCCATCTAGATTCGCATTAATAATATTAGTAAGAAGTAAGATTACTGCATTTCTTATTCCGGAAGCTTTTACCAGTTGCATATTTTTATCTAAGGTTATTATAATTTAATAAATATTTCCACCAGTTGTGACACGTACTTTACACGGAGTTTCGAGGTTGCAGGTGGGACAATGTCAGTGTAGAAATATCACGAACCTCACCTTTAGCGTGATACTTTATAAAACATTTTCACGGTAATATTTCTCACAGCAATTTTAAATGTCGCGTGTATAATGATATCAAAAATTAGACAACGAAAGATACAGTTGTAAAACGTAGAAATAACTGGAGTTTTACAATTGATCTGCGTGATACGACGAAAAAATATATCCGTAGGGATTTCATAAGAGATTCTTTGTCTATTAACGATTGTTTAACAGCTATATGTAGATTCTAATTACTATTCTATTAAAATTGAATTGTTTGCGCACATATTTTGTATAAATAGTTTAAAACCTACTTGAATTTCATCTCGTATTCTTCTGTTTTCTTCTTCGCGATGCTTCGAGAACTTTCTGTACAAGTCGTCCTCCTCTTGCCGGTGCTTCATCTCAAGTTTGGTTTGTTCATCTCGATCCTGTGACATACAAAATTACGGATATTTGAAATATGACGAAGATGAAATTCATTTGTTGAAACGGCATACGATTTATCAACAAAACACCTGCTCGTGTTGTCGCCACCTTGCGGTTGAGTCAAAGAAAGTGAAACGATCGTTCGTTGACCCAAGTGCTTTTAGTCCTATTTAATATATGCGCTCCAAACAATGGTGGTATATGCAATGAGGTCAAATACGCGTGAGTGGGTATTACAAGAATTGATTAATGTTGGCGGTTTTGCTAAACTGTTTTATAAATAGAAAGTCAGTGTGTAGTTTTAGTAGTAGACTTATTTGCGAATAGTTGACGTTTTCAGTAAGACCTTTTTTTCCATTAGTCTTCTGACATAACTGTAAGTCGGTGCATGTTGAAGTTGTCGTAGAACAATGTATTGGCTAAAAATCCATCGTTGTATAGTCGAATTAAATAAACAAGCAATGCTCACTTTAACGTATATTAATGCAGAATTTTATTCATGTTTAATATTCAAGAGAATAACACAAAAATAACTTACGAATGTGTTAACTAACATGAAACAATAGTGTTTACATTGAACAAAATTATCGTTTCACAATATAATGCGCGTTTTATCTACAGTGAGGTCGCCCGCTTGACGAATTTGTTTTTATACTACTTAATCGTGTAGATAACGGATACGGCACTATAGTAGTCAGTTGCGAGGCAGCCGCTCGCCGACCGGCCGTCTTTCGTATCAATATTTACG